TAAGAATCAAAGAAGTTAAATAATTTCCCCACGGCTCTGTGACTGCTTAGTGACCCAACTGAGACTTGACCAGAATCTACTGTTTTCAGAGCCTGAAGTCTGCCCTCTATAGTAAGTGTTCAGTAAACACTTAGTGATAATGACAATGATGACATTGACAGTGATGTCGATGAATGGCAACGCAATAAAGTTCAATTCTCTTAGCTCGGCATTCAATGTCCTCCACAATGTGACTTCAAGTGACCTTTCTAGCCCCACTGATCCATATGTTCCATTAATGTGTTCTATTTTAGCCTTTTCATCCATGTGTTCTATTCTAGCCCAGCTTAACTATTCACAGTCCCCAAATAGGCATCTTTGTGCTTCTTTCTGTGTCTGAGCTTCTCTTCCCTCCCTCTTCTACCTGATCTGGCATAAACATCCTTTTCCTTTAAAGCCTAGCTCTGGTGTTCCACCTCTCCGAGTCTTTCCCTCTCCTGTGTCCCAAGGCCCTGTGGGCAAACCTCTGTTATAGCCATCAGGATGTTGTTTTACTGTCTTCTACACTTCCCTGCCTCCCATCCTCAAACCCCGATTACAGGTCCTGTGACATTTGTCTCTGAATCCCCAGAGGCACATAGTAGGTGTTCTGTAATTATTCACAAAAGCAAACATACCACATGGGCAGCTACACAGTCTGCTAAACTAGACCTGGCTTTCCACTCTCTGCATTGTGATTGTCTGGTGCACAACAAATACCCTCAGTTAAGACCTGATTAGATGCCGTAGACCTCAAGGAAGTGGAATGGCATTTGGGACTGGAAAGTCCTTCCAATACTGGTCAGAGTTCTAGCCCATGGCCACATCTCTTATGACAGACCCTCATGGCTGCTAAGCCTGCTAGAAAGGGAAATTATCTTTATTCCCAATTAGTTAATTTTTTCTGGAGCCAACTCAGCTCCAAGAGAACTGAGCTGGACTCCATTTTTGCATTGTGCATAGTAAAAATCTGGCCACCCAATTTCTAATATTGATGATGATTCCAGAAGCAGAAAAACAGCTGGAATATCTGTTTCCAAAAGCAGCTCATAGAGCTATCATTTTGGAGGGGAAAAGAACCTCCAGAACAAAAGAACCACAGAACAAATGTAACATGGCCACCACTGGAAATAAACTAGAAGAGAACACCCATAAGTTTAAGTCACGGCCTCCAAGATGACATGTGCACCTTGGAAAGCCATCAATTTCTCATCCATAGAGGAGAGAGAGCAAGTGAATAATGTAAAGGAGGTATGGGTGTAGGGAGTATTAGGAACTACCAAGCTGACCTAAAGGAAGATGACAGGAATCACACTTTCCATCTTGCTGGTAACACTGCCATCTACTGAAACTCTCCGCTCCATTTCCTACACCAAAACCTGTGGAGGCCTGCAGTCCGTTTTGTTTCAGCATTTTCTTGTGTGGTCTCATTTCTCATTTGATTTACTATTCTATTTGTTGTTGTGAGGTTTCTCCCACTCCCTTTCAGAAATTAATTACTGTAATTATCCAACTTTAATAGCTGCTGATTTGGCATCTGCAGAAAATACTGGAGAAAATGCACTACATTTCATTTGCATATTTGAGAGACAGTGAGGGTGAATTAGACTTTTCCTAAATTACTTATTGTGACCTGGATATACAAAACGTAACTCGTTCCAAATGGAATTCTCACTTGCATACTTCATTTGTCCAATTACCGTCATAGAATAAGCAAAGAGCAGAGGTTCTTCCCCATATGGTGATGTGATGACTCAGGGAGTTCATCTAAAACTGAGGCTTATCCACGGAGCTTCCAGGCCTGTAAGAGGCAGCAGGAAAGGCCACCATCCACTCTGTGTCACTTCATCAGATGTTGCTGCATGGATTTTTGCAGAATGCATCCATCAGCAACTGTCTGACTGCTAAGACCACCCAGGCCACTGGCTGGGTCTTTCCAATTGCAAGTACAATGCATTGTATGAAATATAGCTAAGGAAGCCAGATGCCCTCATGATAAGGCCATAGCACCTGGAAAGCTGTGCCATGCCCAGAATGCATGACCCTGCATTCTGTGAGAACTGCAAAGATCGGGGACCCATTCATCCAACATATCTTAAGCTTGGGCCAGAGGTGTTTCAGATCTTCCCCTCACCATCACCACAATCTTAGGAAGTCAAACAACTTTCCTGAGCCCCAAGTACCTGCAGAATGGGGAGCATCTCATGGACTTCAAAAGGTTGCTGTGAAGATTGGGGAAATAGCATTCCTGGCACAGAGGTGATCCCTAATGTGTAAGAGTCTCCATGTTGTCCCAGGTAGGTCCTGGCTTAAATACCAAGCCAGAGAATGTAAAATCCCAGACTCTAGGTCATTCATGGGCTACAAGATGGGATTTAGGGGTCAAATGTTTTTGCCCATTTGTTAGATGAGTAAGGTAATGAGAGCAGCTGATCTTTAAAGACATTTCCCCACAGGCCTCTCTCACCTGCACACACCTGTCACCCCTCACAGAAGAGGAAGCTTATGTCCCCTCCCCCTGAGTCTAAGCCGAGTCCCTGACTAACTTTGACTAATGCTGACTTTTCCTGGGCCTAAGCCCTCGGCAGGCCTGGCAGCTTCTGGTTTTGTGCCTGTGGGCGCCAGGAGCCACTGTGTGCCCTGTTGAAGAGTCTGCCTGGAGGGACACAGGCAGAGGCCAGATGGAGAGGGCTGTGTAGAGGAGACTCCAGGATCCCACTGACCGCTTCAACCAAGGCCCCAGGTACGCCACTCAGCTAAGCCAGCTTAGAAGCCCCTTGCCAGGGAGCCAGCCTTGCTGAGGTGCCACAGCTGCAGAGATCATCCTGGGAGGTTCAACCCTACCAGCACCATATGGAGCAGACAGGCCATGCCTGCTGTGCCCTTCTGAATCCCTGACTCACAGAACCATGAGAAATGACATGGATATTGTTAACTGCCTATCCCAGTTTATATCAGCCTACCCCTTTCCCAACTCTCACTGTTATGTGTATCTCTGCCATTGGCTTCACAGCACTTTTCCATCACTCTCCAGCAGGGGAACAGGAGCAGGAACAAGAAGTCCATTCCCTAAGGAAGGGACATGGAGACATGAAACCGAGTCAGGCCTTTTCTTAACTCCTGTGCTGAACACTACAGATTCCTTTCCTGGAAACAGTTGCTGTCTCAGAGCTTCTGCTCCACCACTCCACTTTTCTCACTGATCTTAGAGGACTTGCAATATTTTTATGAGGTCACTGTCATTTTTAGGCTGTGACTAATAATGTCAACTAGTAGCCATTTCTTCCCCAAACACGTTGCCTCCTTCGGAACTCCTGGACAAAGCAAGGCTGGACCCTTCATTGCTTCCTGAGAGTGCTAGGTCCTGCTATTCATCCTCCGGAAGCCACTTCTATGTATAGGGAAGACCAGGAGGCCTGCCCCAAGGTAAGGCCAGTTTAAATACCAGGTCCACAAATAGGCATCCTTGAGACTCATGTGCATTGTCTGAATTCACATTTCTCCATTGGTTAAAATACAGGCAATGATGCCCTCGACAAAACTGCAAGAGGAATAAATAAGCCAAGAAAAGGCTAAGAATCAGCCCGGGACAGAGTAGCTGCTCAAGCCAATGAATCCTCTTTCCTTGGCTGCTGATAAACATAATGTGGTGCATTTTCCAGGCCTTCCTCAATTCTGCCTGGCTCTTTCTTGGAACTTCTAAAATATTTATTCTTTATCTTGAGACTGCTGACTCCAACTTCATCTTGTTCTGTTACTCCACGCCTTCACCCATACCAGTTTTTCTCCCCATAATGGCGCTGTTAGTTCTGCCAGGACAGACACTTGAGAGTCGCCTTGGCTCTTTGTCTTCTCATTACATGTAGCCTCCTCTTCTCGGAAGCCTGTGGTTCTGCCTCCGAACAAGTCTCTTAATTCCTTTCTTCACACCTTCCCACAGGCACCACCCTAATCCAGCTATCACCACACATCACCTGGACTGCAGGCAGAGCCTCGTAACTCTTGCCCCTTGCCTCTTCCCCTCAACCCTCATTCCCTGTCCATTCTCCACCAAGCAGCCAATGCAATGTCTTTAATACAAAATCTGATCATGTCACCTTCCACTCACGTGAGAGAGGCTTCTTGTTATCATGTGCATTGTCAAGGCTCCCAGAAGCCTGCATGCCCCATCATCCCCATCATCGCCTGACCAGGGAGCCCTTGCTCCTGGCTCTCCCAATTTGCTCTTGCCCTAGCCACCAACAGCACGCCCCTTCCCACCCAGCTCATACTAGCTACTCACCCTTCAGGGCTCTGCTTACATGTCACCATCTAGAGACGACTTCCCTGACCTCCAATCCTTTATCTAAATTAGATTGAATGAGGTCTGTTCCTGCCTCCATTCTCATTCTTCTCCCTCAGCACCCTGTTTTTTCCCTGTAATATCACTTGTCACAATTCATAATTACATATTCATTTGTGAACTCATTTATTTAGTCTGTCTGCACTGTCACTACCTCCTTCTCCCCATCATAGAGGCAGGCTCTGCGGACAGTGTCTATGCTTATCTTGCTAACTGTGCATGAACTGCACAGAGCACAGGGCCAGAATCTCAGCCAGCATCCAGGAGAGATGAACATGCCAGGAAGCAAAGGACTTCCCACCAATGCCAGGTGCTGAGCTTAGCACCTGGGACTTGCCTCATGATGGTTCAATTACTTTCAGTTGTTTTTTTTGTTGTTGTTGTTTGGTTGTTGTTCTTAGAAGGTAGCTTTTTCAACAGAAGTGATCTGTTTTGGATGGCCATGCAAGGGTGGGCACAACTCAGTCAAGTGTCCAGGACACCCTGGTACTTTCCCACTATAGGTGTTTCCCATGGGGAGCTCTGCTAACACAGGGCACTGAAGGCACAGACAAAAGGAAAAAAGCTGTCTTGGGTTAGAGGGCGTTTGAGAGATCAGTCATATGAAGATGACAAAACACGTATATTCAACACCAGGTACCTGTGGGTGATCTTCGTGGTACAACCGAGGCAGCAGCCTCACCATGATGCACACGACCCCGGGATGCATGATTGCAGCATCCCCCTCCTCCATCCTGCAGAGAGAGGGAGAGTCAGACATCAGACCCGGACCTGTCAGTTTTTTTCTCTTTTCACTGAGCTTCCTGGATCTTTCTTTCTGAGACAGACCATGGTACACACCCTGTCTACTACTTATTACCTAGATGATGTTGAACTCTGTTGTCGAGCCTAATTTCCCCCACTGTAAATGGCATTGACAATACCACACTTTCCCCCTGCAGTCATAGAACAACACATTTGTGCTCCAAGGCACAGTGCCTGATCCATAGTTGATGCTCAGCGAAGTTAGTTTCCTGGTTTTCTTCCCTTCTCTCTAGATATGTGGGAGATTGAGAAGCTCTGATTTCATATTGAACACACACACACACACACACACACACACACACACACACATGGGCTTCTGGGTCCCTTCAAAGTGGTGTAAGCACACTAGGCTGTGTCCCACCCCCTGAATACTGAATGTGACTAAAACACATAGAATTCATGGAGCAGCTCTTGGAGGACTCTAGGAAGTAAATGGTAGCAGAAAAGGTAACCAAATTCAAGCACCATGAAGTGGCAATGAGTTTCGTGGCCTTCCCTTCTGTATCATCCCCTGGTGTGAACTCACAGGTAGCCTTAAACTCGCAACTGTGCACAAGGTGTAGCATGATGGAAAGAGCTCCAACAGAAGTCCTCTGTTTCTGGTCTGAGGAGCAGGAAAGGAAGTTCTACAGGTCAATGTGCATGGAGGAAATCCCCTGGGATTTTCTTTGTTTGGTTTCCCCATTCTTTCTCAACCCTTCTTTCAGGCAATTCCCTCAGCAGCAGCAACAGCAGCAGCAGCCAGGCAGGCTCTAAAACTCTCAACGAGGAGAAACTTTCTGTCCAACCAGAGGAACTGTAGTCCCAAGAGTGTAGGTAAAATCCCCATAGCTGTTTTCCCCCATTCTCCCCTCACTATGTGGCCCCAGAGACAGATACTAGTGACACAGGGAAGAACAGAGAAATGAAAGCCCCGACTTTCTAGACAGAGCAGGAAGGGACCCCCTGAGAATGAGCAAGTGTTAAGAAGAGGATGAAGAAGAGGAAGCTGAGGAAAGTGTAACCACAAAGTTGTATATTAACCTCTGGGCTCAGTTCTGGCTGTGCATGTGCATCTGTCCCTAACTAGGAGGTAAAACACCACACACAACCAGCTACTGCATGAGGCAAGTGAGGGCACATCAAATCTCCCTGCAAAGTCTTTGAAAACTGAACTGATACTGGAACCAGAGAGTCCAGGGAAGGTGGGCAGAAACTTGCAACCTGAACCTAAGTGGGCTAGTCCTGTGCCTTAAATATATATATATATATACACACACACACACACACACACACACACACATATATATATATATTCCTTAACATTCTCTATAAGATGACAACAAGGACCAGAGTTCATAAGATAAGATTCAAAATGTCCAGAATACAACCTGAAATTGCTCAACATAGAATGAACCAGGGAAGTCTCAACATCTCATGTGGAAAAAGACAACCAACAGATGCCAAGGCTGAGATGTCACAGACGTTGGAACTATCAGACGAAACCCTTAAAGCAGTTATTAACCCAATTCCAAGAAGTAAGAGTGAACATTTTTCAAGTAAGTGAAAAATAGAAAGTTTCAGTAAAGAAATGGAAGCAATAAAAAAGAATCAAATAAAAGCAAAAACTGAAATTTGTTTAAACTCACTGACTGAGAATAACAGGAGAATGAGATGAGAGTCCATGAATGTGAAAATGGAGCAACACAAGTTGCCTAATCTGAACAACAAAAACGAAAAAGATTACTAAAAATAAAGACAGACTCAAGGTCATGTGTAACAAAGGATCTAACATTTCTGTCATTAGAATCCTCCAAGGAGAAGAGAAAGAGTATGGTATGAAAGAAAAAATGTTTGAGAAGTTTTTAGTGATTCTTTCTTCAAAGCTGGTGAAATACATAACCTTAAAGATTCCAGAAGTTTAGCAAAACCCAAATAAAATAAACAAAAAAATTATGTGCAGACACAACATAATCAAACTGCTGGACACAAAAGAAAATTTTAAAAATCTTGAAAGCAGCCAGAGAAAAACAACACATTACATTTAGGGGAATGACAATTCGAATGACTGTGGATTTTCTCATAAGAAAGCATAAGTCAGGGAAACATTTTTAAAGTGCAACAAAAATACACACAGAATTCCATATCCACATGCTTCCAGAATGAAGGCAAAGTAAATGCATTCCCAGAGGAAGGAAGACAGATTCTTGCCATCAGACTTGTTCTAAGAATAATACTTTAAAAATTTCTTCAGATGGTAGGAAAATAATAACAAAATAATGAAAGGAAACTTCAGGGATGAAGAAAGAGCAACAGAAATGGTAAATATTTGGATAAATATAATACACTATTATCGTTCTCCTCTTAAGTTCTTAAATGTAAGTATGATGCTTGAAAGTGACATTGTATTAGATGTAATACATAAGACAACCGCAACAAAAATAGGGAAGGATAGAGGGAACTGCATAGAGGTAAGCTTTCCATAATCCATTTGAAGTAGTAAAATGTTAATTCTAAGTAGACTGTTAAAAGTTAAGTAAGTATACTGCAGTCCCTATTGAAAGCACAAAAAAAAAAAAAAACCTAGACAAAAAAGGAGAGTCAAAAAATTCAGTAGATAAATTCAAATTGAATACTAAAATATATTCAAATTGTCCACAAAAAGGCAAGCAAAGAGAAGTGGAGGAACAAAAAAAAAAGAGTAAAAGAATAGAAAACAAATAATAAAATCCTGAACCTAAATTCAAGCACATCAATAATTCAAACACATTAAAAATTGATAGACACATATTGTCAGAATGGAAAGAAATAAAAACAAAGCTATATGCCATCATTAAATATTGTGATATAGATAGGTTAAAAGTAACAGGATAGAAAAGTGTATACCATGCTAACAGTAATCAAAAGAAAGCTGGTGTGACTCTATTCATATCAGGGAAAACAGACTTTAGAGCAAGGAAATGACTTGGAATAAACAGATTATATGATATGATGATTAAAAGAGACATAATGATTCAAAATGTGTTCGCACTTTACAACAGAGCATCACAGTTCATAAAGAAAATCTCATAGATCTGAAAGGACAAATGGCCAAATCCACAATTATAGTTAGAGAGCTCAACACTCTTCTCTCAGTAATTAATAAAGCAGACAGAAAATCGTGAAATGTATAGAACTGAACAGCACCATCAACCAACTGGTGTAACTGGCATTTATGACAGATTCCTCCCAACAACTACAGAATATATATTCTTCTCAAGTATTTCCCAGTCAAAATAGGCTATACAACAAACTTGGATCATGAAACAAACTTTAAAACATTTCAAACATATAAAGTCATACGAAGTATGTTCTCTGGCCATACAGAATTAATTTAAAGAAAATAATAGAAAGATAACTTTAAATTCGCCAAGTACTTGGGAATTAAAATAACTTATGGGTCGAAGAGAAAGTTTCAAGAAAAATTTTTAAAAATTTCTTAAATTTAAAAGAATACATAGAAAAATGTGTAGAATGCTGCCATAGCAGTGCTTAGAGGGACATTTATAGGATTAAATGCTTACATTACAAAAGAAAACAGGTCTCATATCAACAATCTAAGCTTCCACACTAATATACTATTTTTAAAAAGAGAAAAATAAGCCCAAAGTAAGCAGAAGAAATGCAATAATAAAGAAAAATCAATTAAATTAAAAACCAAAAAATAATAGCAAAAACAACAAGTAAAAATCCAGTTCTTTGAAAACATTTTAAAAATTGAAAAGTCACTAGCTACGCTAACAAAGAAAACAATGGAAGAAGACAGCAATAATCAATATCAGGAATGAAAGAGAAAATGCTGCTACAGACCCCACAGACATTAAAAGGATAATAAGAAAATACTGCAAATAACTCTGTACACATACATTTGACAACTTTGATTAAATGGCCAAATTCACAATTATAGCTGGAGACTTCAACACTCTCCTCTCAGTAATTGTTCCTTCAAAGTCACAAACTACCTTCAAATAGTTTTCTTCAAAGCCACGAATTACCAAACTGTACAAGAAGAAATAAGTTACCTAAATCATTTATAGCTATTACAAAAACAGAATATGTAGCTAAAAACCTTTCCACAAAGAAAACTTGAGGCTCAGTGTTTTTACCAGCAAATTCTACCATACATTTAAGAGAAATAACACCAGTTCTACACAACTTCTTTCAAAAACACAAGAGAAGGGAACACTTCCCAATTCATTTTATAAAGCCAGAATTACCCTGATATTGAAAACAGAAAAACACAGTATAAAAAAACTACATGTCAGTACCCCTAATGAACATAGGTGCAAAAATCCTCAACAATCAGCAATACCCAGATATATATAAAACGACGAGGATACTATGGCCAATTGGACTACCCATTAATGCAAGGCAAGTTCAATATTCAAAAATTAGTCAACATGATCCATATTAATAAAATCACATGACAGTATCATTTAATATAAAAAGCATTTTAAAGATTCAAAATCTGCTCATGACAAAAAAAAAAAAAAAACTCAGTAAATTCAAAGGGATTGTTTACAACCTAATAATGGGCATCTACAAAAATCCCATAGCTGATGTTATATTCAATAGCAAAGACTGAAGAATTTCTCCCTAAGATTAAGAACAAGGCAAGGATGTCTCCATTTCTATTGGATGTAATATTCAATTTCTATTGGATGGAACATATGGACTGGAAAGGAGTATCAAAAACTGGCACTAGTCACAGACGATGAGATTGTCTTCCTAGAAAATCCCAAGGAATTCATTAAAAAAAGAAAACTTCTAGAACTAATCATTAAATTTAACAGTCTCGAATAATAGTCAACATATAAAAGTCAGTATTCCTAATGAACATAGGTGCAAAAATCCTCAACCACAGCAAATAATACCTAGCTACATATAAAATAATGAGGTTCTATCAGGACAG